AGAGAGAGGAGGGGGAGGCGGGTCTGAGGTACCGAACGATGCCAGTCGAGGAGAAAGGTTGGGACATAAACAAAACTACAAAAATTAAACAAAAAAGATGAAATATAAATAACAATTGAAAAAAAGAACTTTAAATATGATTAACAATTAAAAAATTAATTAGAACACAATTACATACTTAATTAAGAACAGATTAATTTATAAATAATGATATAAAGGTCAAGGGACCTAGACAATAGCAGATTTACACAACATAATTTATATTATTACAATAAAGTTAACGTTTACTGATCTCTTTTTATTCAGGGGACAAAATGCATTACACACTTGAGGACAAACTCCAACCAATCCAAAGAAAAAAAATTGTAAATTCATCCAATATACAATAATCGCGAACAAGCGATATAAGATAAAAAAAAAAACACGGGGGAGAGGGGAGTTCAATGATAGCTCTAGGCCTTTTGAGATGCAATCAACACATCACGGGCAGCTTTCAATATTGCAGAAATAAGTAGGAAGTCCAGGCAGAAGCGTTAAAGGGAACGACTTTAGTCGTTCCTTGAACGGATCTACCTTGACTTCCTACTCCTTGACTTCCAAGCTCCTGATGATGTGCTGATTGCAACACGAAAGGCCTAGAACTATCATTTAACTCCCTCCAGTGGTTGATTGCATCATCCAATGCATACGGCAGTCCGAAAAAGTAGGTCTACCCGTAGTGTCAACATTATTTATTTATACTCTGCAGGCAAAATAAACTTATTTAAATATAAAAACGACAAAGAAACACAAATACCACTGACAACGGAGACTAAGCTACCCCTACCATACTTAAAATATCACTGACAACGGAGACTAAACTACCGCTACCAAACTTAAAATATCACTGACAACGGAGACTAAACTACCGCTACCAAACTTAAAATATCACTGACAACGGAGACTAAACTACCGCTACCAAACTTAAAATATCACTGACAACGGAGACTAAACTACCGCTACCAAACTTAAAATATCACTGACAACGGAGACTAAGCTACCGCTACCAAACTTAAAATATCACTGACAACGGAGACTAAACTACCGCTACCATACTTAAAATACCACTGACAACGGAGACTAAGCTATAACTACCATACTTAAAATACCACTGACAACGGAGACTAAGCTACCACTACTATACTTAAAATATCACTGACAACGGAGACTAAGCTACCGCTACTATACTTAAAATATCACTGACAACGGAGACTAAACTACCGCTACCATACTTAAAATATCACTGACAACGGAGACTAAGCTATAACTACCATACTTAAAATACCACTGACAACGGAGACTAAGCTACCGCTACTATACTTAAAATATCACTGACAACGGAGACTAAGCTACCGCTACTATACTTAAAATACCACTGACAACTGAGACTAAGCTACCGCTACCATACTTAAAATACCACTGACAACGGAGACTAAGCTACCGCTACCATACTTAAAATACCACTTACAACGGAGACTAAGGTATAACTACCATACTTAAAATACCACTTACAACGGAGACTAAGGTATAACTACCATACTTAAAATACCACTTACAACGGAGACTAAGGTATAACTACCATACTTAAAATACCACTTACAACGGAGACTAAGCTACCACTACCAAACTTACAATAAAAATAACTGGTTGAAATATTCGAAACAAAGAAATATGAAAATTTATATAGCGGAATCTAACGTATAGAAAATGAGGCGATGATCTCACCTGAGCAGTGACAGGAGTGGGCATGAGTTATGGTGATGACTGTGAGGAGTGGGCATGAGTTATGGTGATGACTGTGAGGAGTGGGCATGAGTTATGGTGATGACTGTGAGGAGTGGGCATGAGTTATGGTGGTGACTGTGAGTGGGCATGAGTTATGGTGATGACTGTGAGGAGTGGGCATGAGTTATGCTGATAACTGTGAGGAGTGGGCATGAGTTATGCTGATGACTGTGAGGAATGGGCATGAGTTATGGTGATGACTGGAGTGGGTATGAGTTATGATGATGACTGTGAGGAGTGGGCATGAGTTATGCTGATGACTGTGAGGAGTGGGCATGAGTTATGGTGATGACTGTGAGGGGTGGGCATGAGTTACGGTGATGACTGAGTGGGCATGAGTTAGGGTGATGACTGTGAGGAGTGGGCATGAGTTATGGTGACGACTGTTGCGAGCGGGGATACGTTTTGGTGATGACTGTGAGGAGTGAGGATGAGTTGTGGTGGTGATGAATGGTACTAATGATTAACGGTGATAGGCGATGCTTCTGTGGGTAGAGTTGTGCATATGGTGGTGTTAATGGTGATTGTATTAAGTGACAGTGTTACGGGTGAGAGCATCATAAGGGATGATGTTACTGGTATTGCTGTTGTGGGTGATAGTGTTACTGGTGATAGTGATACTGATGATAGTGTTACTGGTTATAGTGTTACTGGTGATAGTGTTACTAGCGAGTGTTACTGGTTATAGTGTTACTGGTGATATTGATACTGATGATAGTGTTACTGGTGATAGTGTTACTGGTGATAGTGCTACTGGTGATAGTGTTACTGGTAATAGTTTCACTGGTGATAGTGTTACTGGTGATAGTGTTACTGGTAATAGTGTTACTGGTGAGTGTCACTGGTGATAGTGT